CTCAGGGTGGTAATTCCCTGCCCATTTGATGCTCATTGACGTTGTCGATGGTGCCTTACAAATCGTACAAAACGGTCAGATTTCTTTCGCTTATTATAGGCGCTGTAACTTCGTGATACATTTCGTATAGAAAGCGAATTCTATCCGTGTGTAAAATGTTTTATAATTTTCTTTCACCTAATCGTTTGGTAGTTTCATGATTTATACAAGTTGATTCTCTGAATCGTAAATATTAATAACATAATTAATTGAATACAATTGTCAGACCTATATTTTGAAACAATACATATCAAATCAAGAGATTTATTATCTCATTACTTACGAATAGTTTTTAACACATTCGTTAATGAGTAAACATATTTTTTGGCGCTTCTTTTTGCTTACGTGATGAAATTCATTAATTTTACTTTTCATTTATTCTACAATTATTTACATACTTTATTTTTATACGAGTTTCTTGTGTTTCAATCCATTGCTTACGGTTAAATTATTGACAATTTTACAATCTTAACGCCAACGAACCAGAGAGAGAATGAGGCAGACTCGTAAGCCTTCGGATCACAAACCATTCTTGCTCGAAGATCTTAAGTAATGGCTAATCAGCGTGTCGGCCTTCCTTTACAAAAACTGAAAAAAATGAAAGGAGGAAACGATGATGAAATGCTTGCAGCTTGCGCTTCATAATCGCACTGTTTCTGAAACTGAAAAAGAACATTTAGACCAACTAAAAATTATCATAGAGGCATAGCGTAGGTCCACTACACTACATTAAAATATTATCGATCTCGAACCCTCTATAGTGATCTACAGAGCCATGTCCAATTCTACGTGGGTTGCACTTGATCAAAACTATTTACTATATCATTTTTAATTATTTGAAATTAAGCATTCGTATTCACACATTTTCCTGACAATATTTTTCAACCTATCATGACGTTTAAAGAAAAAAAATGCTACAATTATTGTGATAATCATCTGATGATGATGTATGATAAGATTGAAATCAATCGTTGGAGTAAGTAATAAATGTCCCTATTTTTCATGTGAAGAAACTAAAATGCTGCACCATTTTCTCGCAACATCAGAGATTCCATATCGCGCAGCGGCGAATTGTCCGTCAATTGGCCTACAGAGAACGAATTCGTCCAGAAGGGCGAGCGCGGGGTTTGTGATTGCCGGAGCCCCAAAAAATGCGGTGGTGGACAAGCGGAACCCATCGCGTTGGCCACGCAGCCTTCGTGAAATTGAGGATTCCCGCGAGAAAAAAACTGACGGCCGGAGCGCGACGAAAGGTGGCGCTGAGTTTGACGACGCTCTTTGCAGCGACCTTCGACCCTCGAGACGGAACGCTGGCGGTACCGCCGATTCGCATTTCGACACACCGAAACCACGGGGAGAGAGGAATGGTTGTTCTTTGCTGGAATTTGGTCGGAAGCAATAATAAAAAAAACATTGCGCTCAGTACACGTATAAATATTGTTAGAAAAAGATGCGTTTTGCTAGGATTGTGTCGGAGATTTCGCTGTCAGAAATTTCGGCATTACTTTATGAATTTACATGATTTACTCAAGAACTTGCCCTATGAATGATGACAGGACAAGCGGGAGAAAGTCAACATTAAATCCACACGGATTTTAATTAAAGAATTAAATTTAGTGATATATTAAAATATTGTTAATGTAAAAAGTTAAATTTCCTTCTCTAATATATTAATCTACATTAGATTTAATGGCATTTCTGAATGTGTTGGATATAGAAGCACTGATCAGATGTTTTATCACAGTAAACATCGATATCAAATGACATTATAACAAATTATTTTTCCACGTATTTTTAAATGATTCCTTGAGTGAAGAACGAGCTAAAATCTCACGGTTTTCTATTGTCATCAAAGGGATCAGCTTTTTTTGAAAAAAAAATCCCAGCATGTATCACCACATACTATTACATTCAGTTAGAAACGACAAGAACGGAAACGACGATGTAGACCTCCTGAATTAGCAAGGAACCCTTTTCATTACACTCCAACGAAAAAAAATAAAATAAAAAAATGAAAAGGCGAGGTACCGGGGCCGCCCGCTTCGAGGCGACTTGAACACGTGATTACATGTTAGCGCCGCGCGTTAAAAGAACGCAGCGGGGGAAAGAGATCTTGGCGGCCCCTTCTACAGCGGACCCCTTCGAAATGAGCTCCGCCCAGATCGCGCCCACATACGAGGGCCGCTCCTTGGGGGGCGGGGCTCACGAGGAGTGGTGGAGCGCGGGGGCGGGGGCGGCGGCTGCTGTCCGCAATCTCCACAGGCGCCCGCCTCCCCCCTCCTTCCCGTGCTCCCGTACGCCGGGCACTCCCGCGGCTATCCTTGCTGATTAAACCCGGCGCGGCGGGGGCGGGGAGGTGTGTGGGGGTTGGGGGGGGGGGGGCGAAGACGCCCGTAAAACACATGCCGCCGTAATTCGAATGCTCACCGGAACCCGAGCGGACGAGCTGGGCCGCCCGCCCGGCCCCTTTGCATCCCGCTCAGTTCCATCGATAAATTAAAGAAATATTTAAATGACAGCGGCGTGGCGGCGAGGGCGAGGCCGCGCGCAGACTTCCTCCGAAGGGCGCGAGGGGGGGGGGGGGTAGGGCCATGATTTTCCTGGGCGGGGCCGCGCTGTGCCCCGCCGACGGGGGAGTGTGTAATGAACGATTCCGCATGGGCTTATGTCGGCCGGTGTAATATATGTCGTCGGTCCGCTGCGTGGCTAACATATTCTTTACCACTTTACGCACGCATGGTCCCTGGTCCATGTCGTCTGCCCCTCCACGTTAATAATGTTAATAAGCGGCCATTCTGGTGCACGCGGCCTGCTGCACGGGCATAATGACTTGTCCACCTTCCCCGGAGGGAAATGCTGAAATGCTCATTGGGAGGGAAGGGCTTGGAGTAGTAGGCGTCTTGAACGCCCCACGCTATTCAAAGGAGTTCAACCAAAACCGTGTTCCATCCCACGTGAAGGTGATGTCTTATATAATGTGACGTGGTATTGTTTCTGATGCGCACCATTTTTTTGTTTTTGTGAGGATTCACAGCTTTCTGTTTGCACAAGGGATGTGTTTCATACTAGGTTTGCGTGAGGAGTAACTACAAAATTCCGCCTCAGTACGTGACATAAGTAGTGACGTGCAATCTACAGAAACTTCTCAATGAAACTCTAAACCAACAACTCTCACAGACAATGTTACATAAACGCTGTAATTCAATGAAGAAGAGATTGTTTTTCGAACAATAGACCGTGGTTTTGTGTGTTTATGGCGCTAAATGAAGTATTCTTCTAAATAAATTTCTAGTTAAATTAGTTCTAAAAAAAGTTTTAGGTAAATTTATGCAAATCATGTACAGATTGTTCTCAGAGATTGAACTTGTTTCTCAGGAAGGTATACATCTCAGTTCATATTCAGTGAAATATCAAACATGCATTTTATAGTTTCTTGAACTTACAATTCATAATAACTTTTGTTCTTCGTGTGCAACAAATGCACACAAAACACGCAAAATATTTCTTGCCATGGTTTGATGTTCAAATGGAAAGTCAAATTTATTTTTCACAAACTGCCCATTTCGCCGGTCGATCGAGCATTATTGACTATAGTGAATGATGAACGGCAAAAGCTGTAGTCGAAATCACTACCAAAGTCACTTTATTAGTGATTATTCGATATACCAAAATTCATCGAACATATATATTTATGATCAACGAACGTATTGCAGGATATGTCAAGAACAACTAGGACTGAAGACTATACTCAAATTATACATTTACATGATAGTACTGTAACGTATAACGGTAAAATAGTAGAAAATCCATGCACATTGCATTTGTATACGATAGTTTGAATTTAAAGTAAACACACACACAACTAAGCACTATTTTAGTATCATTCAAAACTTTTAAATTAAAAAATCTACACCCAATTCGTAGTAATGATTCAATTTTACCCATATTCAAATATTTCCTATTTTATAAGTGCATTTAAGTTTAATATCACTTGAAGAAAACAAAAAAAAACCTTCGTATAACTTTCTTTCAAGACGTCTAAACAACTCACGAAACCGACCAATTTCGTCGTTCACCACCAGTCGCGTAAATCTTCCAAATCTGCCGTATCTCATCCATGGCTACGGGACATATATCTTCCTTTCATGACGTATAACCTATCCACGAAACCAACCAATTTCTTCGCACACCATCAGTCGAGTAATCTGCCAATTCTGCCGAATCTCGTCCATGGCTAAAAGGACATGCATCATTCTTTCATGACATAACCTATCCACGAAACCGAACAATTTCCCCATACATCACCCGTCGCGTAATCTGCCCCATTCATATCTCGTCCGTGGCTACACGACATACATATTCCTTTCCAGACGTATAAACTACTCGCGCACCAACCAATTTCTTAGAACACCATCAGTCGCATATTCTGCCAATTCCACCATAACTCGTCCGTGGCTACGGGACATACATCTTCCTTTCAAGATGTATGACCTACTCGCGAAACCAACCAATTTCCCCGTACACCATCAGTCGCGTATTCTGCCAATTCTGCCACATCTCGTCCATGGCTAAGAGGAAATGCATCTTTCTTTCATGACATATCTCGTCCGTCATATCCACCATAACTCGCCCGTGGCTACAGGTTATACATATTCATTTCAAGACGTATAATCTACTCACAAAACCGACGAACACCCCCAGCCACGTATTCTGTCAATTGGGCCGCATCTAACCCCCGCCAACAGGACACCGAGCCTAGCGGCGCCGACGCGACCCGCCGCCGTCTCCTACCGGGCAACGTCGGCGTCGGCGGCGGTGTCGGCGGCGAGGGGCGCTAATGAGAAAATTCCTGCAGCGAGCGGCGACCTGCGCGAAGCGGCTTCGCCGCGCCGCGCCGGCGCGCGTTCATTAGGCGCCTGTAAGTAGACGCGTTTACCACGCGCCACGGAATGCGGCTTCACCGCGATCGCCTTCGCTCTCCACGCCGCGCCGCCGCCTCTTCCAGCGGCCCCGCGCCGCCGCCGCCGCCGCCGCCCGCGCAGTCCACTCGCGTGTTATTAGCGCCCTGGCTAATTAATCCAAGTGTGCGTACAGCTTCTTCCATTATGGTGATGAAGTAGGGTTTGGTCTCGGAGTGAAGGGTCACGAAAACCGATTTTCTGGGTCTCGGCTGAGAAAAGAAGGTGTCTAGTTTCCTAGCGTTGACTATACCTAACTATTGCTTTACGGCTCAAACAACCACGATCATTGCAAACAATGCTTTATTTTTCGTTGTTCGTTGTAACTGTCTAATAAATTATCATATTACTAGTAAAATATTACATTAAATTTAAAGGCTAAAGTTGATAATTTTTTTTTATATCTGAACTATATATTTTATTATATATATATATATATATATATATATATATAATTTAAGCAAATGAAAATATGAAGTGATTCTAATAATTAATTGTCTTTAAATTTAATGGCATATTTTATTAATTCAGAATTATTTTTACTTTTTTTCTTACAATATTTCCTATGGTATTTCAGACTTATGATTTCAAAAAGGGAAAGCACTAAAAATTAATGTACAGTCAATTGTATTGACATTATCTTATTCATTTTGCCTGTATTACTCCCTAAGAAATTCTTAATTCTTTTCATTTTTACTTCATACATTCAATTTTTAATGGTTTTTACGCATATATTATTGATAGTTTGTCATGCACAATTGCATTAATCTACCATGAGACATTTCACGACAGGTCTTCCCAGAAGTGTTGTTTCTTTTCCCCTCCTGGGAAGCTGGGACCTACAAGCACATGAGTAGTACGTCACCCTCCGCGGCCTGCTGTCTTTGCTCCGTCACCCCTGCTCCCAGCGCGTCCATACCGCTCTATCGCGACGACAGCTCTCCCCGCCCCGCTCCATCCGCCCCACGCCTCCCGCCAGGCGGGCGTTGCCGGCCGGGCGCCGCCCCCCCCAACCAGGGCGTAATTACGCGCGCGCCGCGGGACGGTCTCAAGGGGGGCGCCTAGCCGCGTCGTCTTTTTCCCCTCCTCCCCTTCAGCACGCCCTTCCCCGCGCTCGGCCCGCCGCGCCGCGCTGCCCCGGCGCTCCTGTAGCGCCGCGCGCGTCCCATGCACTCTCTGGCAGTGACACGCCCGGCCGGAGGGACCGCGGGAGGGCGATGTGCCGCCTTTCCGCGCCAACGCTCCACCCGGCGACACACGCATCTGGCGAGCGAAGAAAGACGCGGGCGGGCGGGTGGAGCCGCAGGGGAGGTGCGGGGGCGGGGGCAGGGGACGCGAAGCCCTGGTCCGGGAGTCAGCGCAGGTGGAGACGGGCTGAAGGCAGAGCGCGCGCGACGGGGAGGGAACGGGGGACCGCGCGCGGAGAGCGCTGCGGAACCTCAGGCCGTGATCTGGTCGACACACCTCTGGAAGGCGAGAATACGGGCGCGGAGATAGAGACGGGAGGAAGGGCGCGGGGCGGGGCAAGGGACGGGAGACCTCCAGTCCGCAGGTGCCCTGCTGAGACAGCGGCGGCACAGGGAGAGGCGCGTGATAGGGGTGGGAGACGGGGAATTGGCTGGGGGACCACGCGCCGGAGCCTGCGGAAACCCCATGTCGAGAGTAGTCGAAAACACTCTGGAGCGAAAAAATACGAGCGCGGGCGGATGGGAGGAAGGGGACGGGAGACCCCGAGTCTGGTCCCTGCGGAGACAGCGCGAGCGATAACAGGAGACCGGGCTGTGGACTAAGGACCGCGCGCGATGTCCTGCGGAACCCCAGCTTTAGATAGGTCACCGCGTACCGCCGCTGCCACCGCCACCGCCACCGTTAACGTCATCGCCTTTGCCACCCCAACTGCCTCCGTCTCCGCCGATTGTGCCCGTCGCGCATTCACGCGGCGCGCGCTGATTAGCTGCCTTAATAACGCGCGTCGCTTCGCGTTGCCGCGCGTCGCGTTGTGTCGTGTCGCGGCGGCCGGAAGCACCGCCCCCGACTCGCCGCCGCCGCCGCCTCCGCCTCCGCCGCCGCCACCGTCTCCGCCGCCGCCGCCGCCGCCGCCGCCGCCGGAGCTTGTTCTTGACGCGGGCAACGTCGCTTCCGGCTGCCTGATTCCGGTTCGTCGCTATTCAAAGCGGCTTCCTTCGGACGGTGCTGTGCGACCACGTGCGTCTCTGCGGGGCGGCGTCACACGTGCTCCTTCCGTCCAGGCGCGGATCAAAGAAATGCTGGCCTGTGTCGTCATTGCCATTAAATCTGTTGCGCAGTTAACTAATAGCCAGCAGTTCTGGTTGGAGCTGATATAAATTTTGCTTCCGTAATACCAGATGTCAATTCTTGTTGATGGCACACTTCACCTGGTCCGCTACAAGGCCCGTGGTTTGCAGTAAAGCTTTTCTTCTGTACCCATTCTTTGTTTGTTCTTTGGGTAGTAAAATGTCGAATTATTGAATATAATTCATTCAATACCCAAAATATTGTTTTCGGTTTTCTTTGTTTCACTAACTAATGTTCTATATCCATTCTCCCATATTCGTTGATCTTTAAGTATTGAATAATGAAACCTCTACAATTGTATATTTGAACTCTTTCTTAGTTCTCTTGAATCGGGGCTATCTTCACGGTTTCGTCGCAGCAACACTTACCTACCAGGTCCTTTTGTGGTCCTCTGAGTACATTCCCCGTAAAGAGTGCCTTTGCGCTCCCCGAATATCGCATTTCTCTATCTCGGCAATGTGTTTCTCTATTTTTTCGTAGTATCCCTTGGTTCCAGAATGATACCATTGTTTAATACTATGACAATTTGATACCTTTTATCAGATTCCATATATCATTTAACTACGTATTGTTATACGTACATCAGAAGTTTTCTTCAAGATTTATTTTATAGTTACCTAATTTAAGAGTTACATTCCTCTAGCATTAACTACCGTGTTATTTAGTGGTAATACAGAATAAAATTTTTCATACATTTCGCCAACAATTTACATTGAACAACATCTTATTTCAATAGTTAACTAATGAATAATAGAATAGTAATATAGAATAAAGAATAATAATAAAAGTCATTAAAATTTGCTATCAATTACTGACACAACACTTGCAAGAACATCAATTAACAACGGACAATATCTTATTTCAATGCTTAAGTAAATTTCCGTAAATATTTAATTAATTTCTCCGGACGAGCGATGATGTTGAGCTGAGGTCCTCGATCGAAAACGGCGTTGGTTCGCGCCGCCGCCACCGCCTTCGCCAGCGCTGCCGCTGCCACTGCCACTGCGGCCTCCTCCCGGGGGACCCCTTCCGAGTCAACAGCACGCCGCTCATTAAGTTTGCTTTGGTGTTATCGTATGGGAGCGACATTTCCCGACGCGAGCTAAGATTTACAATCTGTGATGTATTTACCTTACAAATAAGGGAGGTGCGACTTCGGCAGACGGGCGGCCGCGGCGCGGGCGGGTGGGCGGGCGGGCGGCAGCGGCGAACACTCTGGGAGTTTGTCCAACCACTTGCAACCCCCTCCTCCCCGCGCCGCCCCCACCAGACCCGCCCGTGCGACTATTCTTGTCACGTCCTGCTGGGGACACACCGGCCGCCGCCGCCGCCGCCTTCACTGTCACCGCCACCCCCGCAGCCCCCGTCGCCGTCCTCGGGCACTCGCGCAAAACACGCTTGGGCTTATACGCGTGTGTGGACACTCTCCGCTAGGCGCTCTCAACTCTTGTCTCGGCTCTTTTCGCTGCCTTGGTGTTTATGATCCGAATGCCGATAGAACCACGCAATCGATCAACTATACGTTCATCTTGAACACAACTATAAAATGGTAGATAAGCGCTCAGAAACAAAAAATAATATAGCGCTCCGGATTGGTCACTGCAAGCCGACGCCGACAGCGCCGCAGCCTCCGCCTCCGCCTCCGCCTCCGCCTCCGCCTCCGCCTCCGCCTCCGCCTCCGCCTCCGCCTCCGCCACCGCCTCCGCCTCCGCCTCCGCCGAATATGAGTCTACAACAACCTTATTTCCTGAGATGCCCGTGATGCTGTGAATGTGCGATATTTAAGCTCTAGTATAGAATGGTAGCATTTCGTGAAATCTATACAAGTTTAGGCGACCTCAAGGTACTGAATTTGCTGTTTGATGAAAAGTAAATTAGCGGCTTCTTACAGGGTAGAGAGCTGAATAATATTACGCTATGCATTACAGCATTATATATTAACTGTTTAGCACCATCATTACTACACCACCAAATGAGAGAGAAGTTTTTGTAAGAAGAAAATAAATGCTTTGGGAGAAGACTCTAAGAATGTGAGCATTTGGGGCCCCACCTCAGTAACTTTGACATTCGTATTTACATTTATGATTGTTTGAAAATAAAATTTCTAGCATTAGCAAATGAAACATACCAAAAATAATTGAAACCATTAGAAAAAACAACAAAATATTATTGCTGTAACAATTATTTGGAAATGCGAAGGTATCGGAGCTACACCTGCAATAAGAGAAAGTATCTACGACCCCCTTCAGCCCCCGGGACTTCAAGTGTTGAAAGATATTAAGATATTAATAAATGATTTAGATCGTTTTACTATCGTTTCAAGTTTGCTGAGTAATCTATCGTATCAGCAGGGTCAAGCATGTCATAATATTAAAGTTTATCATATATTTTGTTAGTAGCAAGTGTAATACATATTTTACAACGCGAGTTGCATTACAGATTTGTATAAAACTGAAAATAATTATTATGAATATCGTTAAAATTGTGATATTTTCCATTCGTGAAACATTTTGCATTGAATTTCACTGCATTATGTATGTTTTTCAGTAGTAATATGGCACCGAGTATCAATTCACTTCAGGGAATATTTTTTAAATATGTTCCTCATGAGGAAGCTTAGAGCAGCAATTATCTTTTGTTAGCTGAAATGTGGCAATGAAAATGAATTGTGTTTGAGTCTTCGCATCTTTTGTTGAGTTTTGTTTCCCCTGACGGACATGTATACCTCGTATCGTTTGACTTTTTTGAGTTATCTCAAGAGATAAATTAGAATTCCTCATTAACGATTTCCTAGTCTCAGATCAAACAAGTATACTTGACTCCGCGCAGA